CTCTCGAAATAAGACGCGGTCTCAGAAGCAGTCACCAGCAGAAAAGCAAAAAGGAATTACGAGTTTTTTGCCTTGTTTGCGATTGACAAAAATGCCTTTAATTCTGCCAGCTGGAAAAGACATCATACGCCGACGACACAACCAGATTATTTGCCATAGTGCGAACACGGAACTCACTGGAAATGAAGACCAACGAACACTACGCAGGGTTAACAAGAGTGGTTGACCAAGAAACCTCCAGTATGGGCTGTTGACAAGACGGGGTCGTCTTGGATTTAAAAATCCCGCCAGATCATTTCCGCCCCCTGGTGGATCCGATGGGGAGGGCAACTTATTGAATGGAAAATGGCATGATCAGCATACCTGCTTAGGGGTGGAAATTGATTCACGATTGAGCTTCGGACCCCATATTATAAAAATAAGCAGGAAAAAGCTGCAAAAGGACTGATCAAATCTTCCAGACTAATTCTTGAAACTCAGAGGTCCAGTGAAAGCAAAAGAAGGTTAATTTCTGCGTAGTCACTCAAAATGCTCGCTATGCCCCCCAGCGTGGGGCAGATGCGCTAAAGCTAAAGAGTCCATTCTACGGAAATTCACACAGATGCCAGAGAAGGATGGCCCTAAAGGATAATCTCAGGATATCGCACGATATCCGACAGTGCAGCCTTAGTACTGGCCAGTGTCTCCCCCCGTGGACCTTTTAGCCGCAGGAAAGGAGGACAATGCTACCTGAGATGAATCAGCAGATAAAAACAACCCTGTCCAAAAGACAATAGACATCCTATCAAAGCAGGAATTGGGAAACCATCTCCTGCACCAAGTGGCAAAAACCGATGGGACCTGAGTCAAAGGTAGAGTGGACACAGCCTTGTCCCTAACATCAAGGATTGGCCAGCCAGGAACCATGGTGCTAATGGACTTCTAACTAGACCAAGCCTTCTCAAGGGCATGCGAACTTCAAGCATATCTATAAGATTTAAAAGTCGCTCAAAGTCCTGATATGCGCACTATGCATGAAACGAGGACGCTATGCACACCATAGTGATATTGCAAAAGCTTGGGAAAGAAACTGCTACACAGCAAATGTGCGACATGAATTAATGCTGCAAACACCAGCCCAGATTAGCCTGCAATCCCAGAGACAACTGGGAAACAGTGCAAGACTCTTTGGCTCACGTACTACACAGAAACAGCCCATTAAAAGCAGAGGAGAGCTAAAATACCATAGCGACCATCTGAAGAAGGAAAGTTCAGTGCTCTCAAGCCAATCTTCTGCTGAAGTAATGTCTCAAACGACGGTCCGCGCAGAAGATACCACGGCCATGATGAAGCGATTACGGTAGGTTTTAGTCGTGGTGCCACGCTGGAGAGTCCGACATAACGCGGACTACCGGTATGTGTAACCGCATTTCCCCCTCCTCCGGCAATAATAATAATAATAATAATAATTAATAACAATAATAGGCTTACTACGAGCTGGATGTTTCCCACAAAGAACAAAAAACTACATAGTGACAACACGGAACTACTGGAAATGAAGACCAACGAAACACTACGCAGGGTTAAAAGATGGTTTCAC